ATATATCAAAATGTATATTTAGTATATTTAATCACATTCAATTGTTTGAACATCTATACATATAGTCATTTTATATATCTATCATCTAGAGAATGATTCAAGAGATAAAATCAATATTCTAGGTGATAATATCGACCATTTTAAGTAAAAATGTTTATATAAACATATGCTCTATTCTAAACGGTTTTCGACTTCAATAGACATATTAAAAAATCATTGTATAATGGCATCATGAACTAACGAAATTTTCGCAATAATTGCGCTAAAATGATTCATCATAACGCAATAGTTTTGTCAGAACAAAATTTCTAAATAATATTGTCAAAAATTAAACAAATTTAATTTGAGATATAAATATTTTATAATTCACTTTCTTTCAAGAATATAATGAGACGCTAGCAGTTTATTGAAGAAACAAATAAGAATATATTACGATTATTTTCAATTGCTTGACGAACACTTCCAAAAAATCGGCGCATAGATCAAGCAGCATAGATACTTTTTTTCTAAAAACTCAAAAATGTTAAATTTCTATCAAATATGACTTTTTGCTTCCTCCCAGGAACTCCTCCAAAGTTCTCGAGCTGCAAGCTCTCGAACGATTCGATGACATACAGTTTGTAATAATTTACTTAGCTTTAAATCACTTGTCCAAACAAGAAGAAAAATTCCATAGTACCTCTTTCCAAGTCCCTCTCTCGAGATTAACCCAAAGATCCTCGGAAAAATCGGATCAAAAATCGGAGATGAAATAGTTCCAAAAGATTACATTTGACAAGATTCTTTTCAACAGATTGTTAGTCTACGATCAATTTTTTAAGTCTACTCCATTCATCTTCAGATAGTTAAATTTTCCTTTTAAGGGCCAACACCAACAATGATATTCGTCTCCATGAATGATAGTATAGATTAGAACTTTTTTTTTTGCGGATGAATTAGTCGACTTCCGCCGATCCATCTTCTCCAGCAAACAGCAACACTTTTCTTCCATTCTTTTTTAACTAATAATAAAAAAGCCAAAGATAGAATTCCATGCTTTTATAAAAGAAAAAGATTCTCTATTTTTTCCTTTTTCTTTAAAAATCCTTTATTAATCAATTATCGTCTCTCAATAAAAGGAGCAAGCCTATCCACATGAACTATACTTATGTCCGAATTCCGAAAATGACCTCACTCAGCTTTTTAATTATATCCTTTCTAATCACTCTGTAATTTAATTACTCTATAATTTAATTTAATTTCGGAACTATTCCCCTCTTTCTCGCTTTTTTCTATGCAATCAAACTTTTTGTCCTATATCGAAAATGATCCGTCTAGCATTTTGATCATAATGGTTCTTGATCTGTGAAAACTGTAAATTATATGCTGTCCAGTATGATGATGAATCACATCTAATTTGCCTCTTAATTTGCTAGAATATATCATTTTCCAAATTCTTCTTCTTTTCTCTCGAAATGCTATTTCATAGTAAAACTATAGAAAGAGATCCTGATCGAAATATAATTCTACAAGAGTAGCGTCTGTAGCCTCATGCCTTGATGAATGGTAAACACATAGGAATCCAATTGTCCAATCTTTCTGGTTTTTCGTAATAAATTTAGATAAAGAATTGTTTGATGTTAGCGTTCAACATGTCCGTCAGATTGCAGATGCAACGCAGTAATTCTCGTTTTCCTAATTCCTTCCCAGTAAACGAATTAATTTTTGAAAAACTTTCGACTAAAAAAGGAAAACTTTTCCACCTCCATATTAGCCAAAATTTTTAATTGCAAACCTACTTCCTCCACAGTAGGATACTTTAAAGAATCCCGCACAAATCTTATGGGAAATGAGTTTCAGTCAAAATTGTTTCAAATTTTAATTTTAGCTTAAGTCAAGCTGATTAAAAGTTCTCACAAACTTCTAAATGCCTTAATTTTTGCTCCAAGATCTTCGGAAGGTTATCATATCTTATATGAAAAATAATATCCAAATAAATCTTTTTTTATTAACATTAGTTTAATTATAAATATTATTGGATATATGTATATTGCATAATATATAAAAAATATTATATTTTTCAATATTTCGAGAAATATTATGATATAAAATATAAAATATCTCAGAAAAGTTTTATTTTATTTTCCAAGAAATATGTTAGGATTTCTGAAAAGGCAAGGAGACTCACGTAAATCAAGCATCTCAAAGGAATGAGACGTCACGTCCATGTTATTTGTTTCATCAAAAACATCTGGCTTTGACTTACGTCTTGCGATCTCCTAATATAGAGCTATCAATCGCGGAAGAAATATTATTGTAGAGACTTAGCTGTTGAATCCTCTCTCACAAACGTTGGAATTCTCGTTGTGTTGCTGCAGCATCGCTGCAAATTCGGCCTTACTCCGTGCACACTTCACACGCACCTCACAGATCTCGAACATCATTGTTTGGAAGATCACAATTTGCGAAAAAATTTCTGCAATCGAGAGCTAGTGTTTTGATGTTTTCGGAGTTGAGCCCTTAAAATGTTACACTCGCGTCGTATTCGCAGAATATTTCACTCGCGATGTGCTAGCGGATCATGAACGCTTTCGAAAGAATAACTCCAGTCTTTTAAAAATGAGCTTTGGTACAAAATAAACACGTATACAAAGAAAACCGTAACCGTAACAATATAACAACTTAATGAGCATCAAAAATGTTTTTACAGTCCGAGCTTTCTTTATTAAAATTCGGAGATAAAATACCACTTTCACGCCGGTAACAGCTATCCGGTGGAATAGAATTGAAACCGCCAGTCGTAACAATATTTTGAAAAGGGAGGATCCCGTATATACAGAGTGACCACTTAAATTGACCATCTGAAATATTTCACTTATTTTTGATGATATAAAAAAATGTTTCAAATGAAAGTGGAACGGTTTCGAGGAGAAATATTTTGGTCATTTTTTTTTCTAGGTAAAGGCACCTCCACTTTTTAAAATGGAATTGTATGATTTTTTTTTTACACAATATGATTTTTCTAATTATTCTGTATATAAAAATATTAAGATAAGCGATATCAAAAAACTAATAGTTTACAAAATATTTTATATGCCTTTATTTTGGCATATATTGACATAAAATATTAAATAATTTGTAAACTATTAATTTTTTGATAATCATACTTTACACTTTTATAAACAGAAAATTCATAGAAGTATACCAATTGATTATATATCAATTGATTTATCTCTATTTTTGTAAAAAAAAATTAATAGATACGTATAGCTCTTTATTTTGGCTTTGCATTATATTGTCTGTAGCCTATGACATAGAAAAACATAAGACAATAAGGCAAACAGTAAGAAAATCGGTTAAAAGTAATATTGGATAGCGATAATTTCTTTTTTAGGACGGAAACGTAAAAAGTGAAATTTTTTGTATATATAAGTATGTGTATATGTATATACATACATTCATACATTCATAAAAATTTTCACGTTTTTGTCCTAGGAAAAATATTACATAAATCTAAAAACGTAAAGTTATTACCTGAAATTTTCTATTGTAGTTGGCCAATTCACTTACGCTTATGTCTTACGTTTTCCTATGTATTTCTGACTTAATTTTTTCTTGTTTTTTAAATAAGATTGTATAACATGTAAAAACATAAATTAATATTTTTTTTTTGTTAGTCCTAATAATATCAATATCATCTATATTGTTCTGTAATGATGACAAAAAAGTAAACTCAAAGATAACTGAAAAGTCAGTAGTCAGGTAACATCTATTGGTTCATATACGTTTTATATATGTTTTATATACGTTTTCTAAACGTATCTAATGTGTTCTATAAATGTTTAAGGAATATATAAGATCAACATGTGTTACTGGAATAATTTGTAAAAGTAACTAATTACTCTTTGAAAGAAAAAAAACTGTAATTGTAACTAGTTATTTTTACAAAATAACTTTTCTAATCCTGCACAAATGTCGCATGCAGAAGTGCTGTATCTATTATTATGCCTCTATGATGATAGTGCTATTACTGCTGTTGAAGAATATCACCAATGTTTTACTGTGCGCAATATTCCAATGTTATCGTGACTATATAAGTTTTCCAAAATTTTCAATACATTCAAATTATCTCGGAAACCGTTCAAAGTAAGATACATATTAATATGAACATTTTTGCTAAAATA